TGCCATCCCCGTATGTTGCCTACTTTAATAGTTATCATAATACTATAAAGAAACCACGTTTGCAGTATATCAACTGTAACATTCACGCAGTTACCGCGGGCCTCTCACGAGTGAGGGGAAAGAAGACACCAGACTGATTCTTCTTTGAGGGGGATGAGAGCGCCCAGACCGGAGTCTGGAAACCTCTTTTATTGAGTACATCAGAGGGCAGGGTTAAGCATATCATACGTCACACTACCTAATACAAACTCATAACCATATATGATAATACATGAAACACAAGGGATCATGTGCTCCGATTGAGCACGTGACACGCTGCAGGGGCTTGCCTCCTGAAATTTGAGGCTTTACCCCAGGGTGTTGCTGGTATATTCCATGCTAGCTTCCTTGTTAGTGTTCAACTGATTTTACTAGTCTGCACTGACAGAAATGCCTAGCATGTGATGAGGTGTTATAATGCAACACCTGTGAATAAATAATTAATTTTAAGTGACTTCATTCTGAGTCATAATTTAATAGCAAGTCCTACTGATTTCATCATTACATATTTCAAAGCAGTATATCTGTGAGTTAATATGTTATAATACATTGCTATTTTTATAATGTTTTTCCAGAATTTTAACAATGGAACAGAAGAATATTATAACTCATCTTTTGGGATGAAAAATATTTCAAAACATATAGAAGTCATTGGTACGTTAAAGAAAAGATGGATTGCTTGTTTTAAAATTGCACTGTTTTATATATGCAATTGGTAGATTTTCTATTGCATTTTTATTTTCTATATTCCATTTTATTTTCCATTTATATTTTGTGACATCCAGGTGAACATATGCCCAGCAGGAAGAATAACACATGCTATAGTATATTAATATAGTATATATTATTATAGTATAGTATTTCATTTAATTAATTAATTAATTCATTAATTAAATACACTTATTTATATATTGCCCCTTTCCCAAGATTCAGAGGGTTTACAACATAAAATATAATAAAATCCCATGAAAAGAGAGCACAAAAACACTGTGGTGGATTGCAGTAGAGAGCAAGGTTCTTAGGAAGGAGGGTGCACATTCCAGGAAGGGCAGAGAGACAAGAGGCAGCACAGTCCAGAGCAGGAGCATGAGAAATATAAGAGATTTAGAATAGCCACTCTCTAGAATCTCAAAGGGTATATCCACTGGTTGCAGTAGTACAGATTTAGTCTGGCAAGTTTCTTATTTTATTGCTTATATGGTATAAGCAATAAAAGAAGTGAATTTGGATGAACTGTTTCCCTGTTGTTCTTGGACCGACCTGACAAACACCCACAATATCAAACATGGATTGACAAGAAAAAATTCCAAACAAAAATGATAGCCCTTCGTTATGACTAAAATGCACAGTTTATCTGAATAAGAAAGACCAATAGCAAACAGGCTAAGGTGGGAGCAAGATGTTCCAAAATGTTGGGTCTACAACAGAGAAGGCCTGCCTTCAGGTCCATATCCCCTAATCTTTAGTGGGGCCATGTTTCTAAGCATCTCTTCTTTTGATGATTGCAGAGGATAGGCAGAATGTATCTGGACAAGAAAGTTCCTAAAGTAACCCAAGGCTGAGCCATGTAGAGCTTTATATATTTAAAACCAGAACTTTGAATTGGGCTTGAAAAGGTATTGACAATCAATACAGTGACAGGAATATAGGTCTTATGTTGCAATGGTGTCTGTCCCCGACTCATAGTCTAGCTCTGGTGTTTTATACCAACAGTGGTTTTCAAGTGATTTTCAAAGGTAGCCTCATCACTGCGCATTACAGTAATGTAAATACATGTGGTTAAGGGCATGAATCACTGTTGGCAGGACTTTCTGATCCAGGAAAGCCTATGTCTGGTGCATCAGTCTAAACTGGGAAAAGACTTCCTTAGCTGTTGCTTTCATTTGCTGTTCTAGCAGGAGGCATGAGTCCAGTGGAAATTCCAAAATCATGGACCACAGACCATTTAGAGCAATAACCAGAACCAAATTGGAATGAAGATGCTGCTGTACATTCAATAATTCTGTTTTGCTAGGATTCATTCCATGCAGTCCCTCACAGCTTCTAGACACTTGGCAGTATCTTCAGCCCAGCCTAAGATGGACATGTATAACTGATTATCACGCCCATATTGATGATCTCTCAATTCAAACTGATGGATGACCTCTCCCAGTAGTTTCATGTAAATACTAGATAGTATAGGAGAGAGGTGAATGCTGTGACAATCATGGGCTCAACTGCAATTCCCCCATGACTATCAGTTGAAACTATCCTCTTAGAAAAGAGCAGAATTACCTTAGAATGATATTCCCTACCCCAAGTATCTGTAAGTGTTCCAGAAGAATATCATGTGGTCAATGGTATTGAATGCTGCTAAGATTGCTTAAGGCAAGGAGGAGCATACTAGCTCTATTCAAATCTGAACAAAGGCCATCTATCAGAGTAACCAGTACTGTTTTCAAACCATGTCCAGGTTCAAATTTTGCCCAGATGGGATCTAGATAATCTGCTTTATCTATGATCCTCTATCCCACCACTTTCTCCAAAGCTTTACTCCAAAAGGAAGGATTGGAGTATGGGCAGAAGTTGTCTAATGTAGTTGGATCAAGGAACAGCCTCTTCAGGAAAGGGCACAGACCACTGCCTTCTTCAAGATTGGTGGCACTTTTTCCTCTCTCAAAGAGACACTGATGACACATGCCTCCCTGACTGCTCACAAGAGCAAGATTGGTCATGGATCCAGGCCAGAAATATTGGAGCTTATGCTACAAAGGTTCTTATCCAATCCCTGGGACTCAAGATTAAAAGGATCCCAGGTCACATTGCAGGATGTTACTTTATTCACCTCACTAGATTCCATTCAAGAGGTATTCAACCTTGAGTGAATACTTGTGAAGGAATGTAGACCTTTCCTTGGGAATGGGGAAATAATGAGTGAACTGGGGGGGGGGGGAGAGTTTCAGATGAGATTACACAGTCCCACAAAACTCAAGATAACACCCCTCCCCATTTTGTTTGGTATAAGATGAAATAGAAACTGACAGGCTTTCAAGATTTTGTTATTCTACTCTGTAATAATAAAGATCATTCCTGGAATCCCTGCTGTGCTTATTTCTTGACCTAACCTGTCTCAAAGGACTGACAATACCCAACCAATCCAGCTAGAAACCAATTTCTGGCACTTCTCACTAGTGCCCAAATTGAGCTGAGGACCCTCCTCATAATTCAGAGGGTTCCTCCCCTCATCTCTCATTTAAAGAGCCAATTCCAATATTCCCACTTCCTTTATTGAGTCTCTCACCATAAGAGTCCACTCTTATTTTGAAGGCCTCAAGACATATCACCAACAGCAACCTTTGAATGATGTTTTCATGCAATTCCAGCTCCATTCAGCACCACAAATTTCTCAACATAGATGCTGATCTTCACCTCTCCTTTCATCAACTTTTGCAGAGTGAAATCTACATTGCCATCATTGCAATGCTGTGTCTCAGGCCACTATCTCTACTTTTTTCAGGGCAGACTAATCACAGCGGAGGTTGCTTGTTGACTTGCTGCCTTTCTGGCTGTCTGGGGATGCATCTCTTATTTTTCCAAATTCTGGATCAGTTATACATCCATTTCTACTGTGTCTTTTTCATTCCTGCTCTCTTTCTTCCACCCTTCTGCAGTCAATCCAGTTTCATCTACTGTCTGTTGTGGCTTTTAAGAATCACTGGTTTTTTTCTCTTTTGCCCAGTGGAAGTTGGACTTTGTCCTTCTAAAGGTATTCCTACCTGCATTTCTTTCCAAAGTCTTTTCTCCTTTTCCCTCCACAGTTTCCATGGTTTTTCCATTCAGTGTATTTTCATTGTAAGTATATACAGTGCATTTGGAAAGTATTCAGGCCCCCTTCACTTTTTTCAATTTTGTTATGTTGCAGCCTGATACTACAATTGT